TCCTCTTGATTCAGTACCATCTTTCATGTTAAGCTGTCTGGATTTTAGTTTCGTCCCAATTAAGAAAGGCTCCTAACACTGGGCATATAGGAGGTATATAATAACTCTCTCTCTCTTTCTCTCTCTCTCTCTCTCTCTCTCTCTCTCTCTCTCTCTCTCTCTGTGTGTGTGTGTGTGTGTGTGTGTGTGTGTGTCTGTCTCTCTGTCTCTCTCTGTCTCTCTTTCTCTCTCTCTGTCTCTCTCTCTCTCTCTCTCTCTCTCTCTCTCGTTTTCAGTCCTTGTGTTCATGATGTGTAAACAAATCCTTCCCTGCACGCAGGAGCTAAGCTCTGAAGGAACTCAGTGCAGAAGCATTTGGTGATGCGAGCACAATCATCTGCCCAGCACCACAACAGGCCATTGAGGCAGTCACATGGGGCCCCATGCCCTAAGGGACACAAGCCTGGTGTAACCCTCAGCATTCAGCACCTGAAAATTCTTTCATATTTAAAAATAATTTTTCTAAGTAGATTCTAACGATCCATTATTTAATCCAGTGTTTTTAATATGGGGCCCAAGTTTTCAGCTTGCACTGAGACCCACAAATTGTGAGTGACTTCAGTATTGGAGCTGCTATCAGGGCTGCTGTTGCTATGTGTGCGGCTGCACTTGTATCTCAGCAGGTGAAGTTTCAGGAGGCGAGGGTGCTGACGTTTCCCAGGGTCTGCCAGAGCCTAGACAGATACACAGCAGGCTGGAGAGCAGGGCGCAGTAGATGTATGCAGAAGACAGTTCCGCATTCATTTACTTCATTCAGGATTTATTAAGGAGCTCTGCTCTGTGCTAGGGGCTTTGGGAGTTATGACAATGAAAATGATATTCCCTTTCCTCATTCCCCAACAACCCCAGACCTATAAACCAGGGAAACCCCATGTCAGCCACTGGATTCCTCGTCTGAATTATGAAAGCCCCACCCTATCTACCTGCTGGCACGTGCTTTCCATGCACTGCAGCCCTCGGCATTTCGCCCGCTCTGAAGTGGCCTCCATGCCTGCATCGCTCAGTAGTACCACACTTCTAGTGGGGTAGACAGAATGCTCTGCTCTTGATTCGCTCTGTGACCTTGAGCAAGTCATTTCCTTTCTCTGGACTAGATCTCTATTTACTCAGATATGGTTGGCCTCAGATAACCTATATCAAAATTCCTGAAATGCAGATTCCTGGGCTTCTCCCAAAGACTCAATCAGAATTTCTAGGGGTGGACCCTGCTCTCTGGGTGATATGCATTCTAGCTTGAGAGTTTCTGAGGTTGCCATTGGCTCTAACAGTCTGTGCTTGGTAGCTTGGCCCTCAATAATGTGTCATGTCCAGGAGATGGAGGAGACTAGGGGCGGGCATGAGGACAGAGGCTGGAGGGGGCTGCTGTCATGACCAACCTGGAGAAAATCCACAGAGGGACGCTAGCAAGGAATAGAAGCAAACTCTCCGAACAAGGGGCAATCCGTGCCTTGGGAAAATCAGAGCCCCAGGGATCTGGGCCTGCAGCCATGGTCTGACCTTAAATAAATACAGCTGGGTGCTCAGAACCCCATTCGAGTCACCCAGAGCCTCGGAACAAGGAACCACAGGAATACCTGTTTAGCCAAGCACGATGATGGCGTCCTTACTCCCAGCTCAGAGAGGCCTGTGTCTGCTCATAACAGCCGTGTTCTGGAACTGCACTGTCCAATACAGTTACCACCAGCCTTGTATAACAATGTCAATTTGCTTTAACTAATTAAAATAAAATAAAATTAAAAACCCAGTTGCACAGTGGCACTCACCACATTTCATACCCGCTGGCTTCCTTGTAGGGACAGCGCAGGTTACAGAGCCTTTTTTCCTTTGCAGAAAGTTCCCTCAGGCAGCGCTAGTCTAAAAAAAAAAAAATGGAAACCTTATCCATCATCTTCCACTCCTTTTCATAGGCTAGTAGTGTTGATAAAGAAACAAGGTTATTTTATGGTTTTTACTCTCTGCCACAGCTACTACTGCTGTTGGAATAAACTAACGCCTCTTTCAAATCCCTAACCTGGTCTGATTAGCCGTGGCCGGTTCTTACCGGGACAGACACTCCGGGCCATCCGTTTGCCCGTTACTCCCCGCATTTCTGACAGGCTTCAATTCTCATTTCTTCCTCTAAGCCACAGGTCCACTCCTTTGAGCCTGTCTTACTAGCTGTAAGGTTTCCTAAGCTCAGTTGTGTAGCAGGCAGACAGCTTCCACTAGCTCTAGAAAACACATTTTGGCACCTCTCCCGGTCCCTCCCTTGGTGCACAGATATACTTTCAGTTCTCCCCAGCGTGGGCATCCTGTAATCTCCACAGACCTCCATGCTCCTTTTTGCCTTCAAGCCTCTTCTTTGGACTTCTCATCCCTTCTCTTGGGCTAACTTTAGATAACGTTGCTGCTGAAAGCTGACTACTCAGCCCCTCCCTACCACCCAGTCCTGCCTCTCCTGAAGTCTCCCCTGATCTAAAGTCCATCACGAAAGATCTACCCATGGGCCAGCCCTGGGCTAGGCATGGGGCACTGGAATGAATAAGATGTGCCCTCCTCTTTGGAGGAATTCTCCATCTGCGGGTGAATGTATTCACCGTATGGGAAAGAGTGACACAAAACCACAGGCATACGGGGACACAGCGAGAGGAGTCTGGGCGGGGGGGTATGGGTAATGAAATCACAGAACAGTTGACTGCTGATGAGAAGGTGGGTGTGTTCATGGATTGTCTGGGGTTCTGTTGCATTCCATGAAGCTGTATTCTAGCCCAGGGTCTCCCTGAAACCCCGTGTCAGCCACTGGATTCCTCATCTGAATTATGAAAGCCCCACCCTATCTACCTGCTGGTATGTGCTTTCCATGCACTGCAGCCCTCAGCATTTTGCCTGCTCTGAAGTGCCCCCATGCCTGCATCGCTCAGTAGCTACCACATTTTCTGAGGGTCTTCCCCATTCCCACACTGGCCCCAGCCCTCCCATCTCAGCCTTTCTCTTCTGTGCCAGGACTGTGTGTCCCCAGACCTTCCCCAAGTCACGGTCATAGTACTGACATGTCCTCCAACCCACCCTAGTCCCTGCTCTCATTCCTACCTGCATTTGCCCCCTCCCCATCCCTATCCTTTTCTTTTAGAACATTTCTTGATTTAGAATCCAGACTGGCCCTGCCTGTTTGGTGAGTGAATGAGGTTGAACTCCAAATCCCCATCTTTCATTCAGTAGGCATTGCCTCAGTGCCGGCCCTGCCTGGCCCTGTGTGAGATCTTTAAGATCCAGGGACAAAACCTAGCACTCAGCTTCAGGATGCTGCAGCCTAATGGAAAACACAGACACTTGAATGATGGTCTCAGGGTGCAGCAGAGTCTCTAGCGGGTACATGCGGAAGCTACAACGAAAAAGAGGAATTGCTTTGGATGGGGCTGGGAGACTGTGTATTCACAGCGATGGCCGAGTGAACAATATAGAAAGATATTCCAGGCAGAAGAAGATACACATATTTGTGTGCACGGCAATGACCAGTCATGACCAAGCAGGCAGTCCTGGAAGGTGTGACCACAGATGCCACGAAGGGGGAGGACCGGGGATTCTTATAAATAAGGGAGACACCTGTGCGGGTTTACATTTTGGAAATAATTCTGCAGACTTTCTGGAGAGGGCAGGGCAGAGAAGGGGCTCTAGGAAAGGTTGATACAGCCCCCTGCATGCATTCTCCACCATTTGGGAGCGTGATGTACATAGTGAGACAGACTGCCTTCCCTGCCACCTCCCACTGCCGAGGGCCATTTCTCCTGTCCAAGTTAAAAGCAAGAAGGGAGAGGAGGGAACGTCCTCTGTAGTCATCTGTCTTCTGTAGCTGCAAGGGGCAGGCAGCTTGGCAGGGAAGCAAGCCCTGTCCTCACATTTCCACTGCAGTATCATCGAGTTTCCCTTCTCCTGACATCCTTACCTCCAGCTCGTGCTCCAGGAGAGGAATCAAAAAATAAAATAAAATATAAGCTTCAAAGAGCCTGTCCAGGAGGCTACAGGGAAGCCAGGCTTGGTAAAGGACTCTATCATTTATACCATAACCCCATCCTATGGATTTGGCAACTGAGGCAAGGAGTTGGTCTAGTTGACCTGAATTAATTTCCCCTTGTTATTGTGATAAATTATCCCATATTTAGTGGCTGGAAATAGCACAAATTTATCATTTTAAAATTCCAAAGACCCAAAGTGAGTTTTGCTAGATTCAGTTAAATCAAAGTTGTTAGCAAGGCTACGTTCCTTTTGGAGGCAGTAGGGGGCAGTAGGAGAATCCACTTCCCTGCCTTCTCCAGCTTCTAGAACCTATGGCACACCTGTTATTTGTTTTTCTTTTAAGACAAGAGATGTTTATATATTGCATATTGTTATCTTCAAAGTAGTCGCTCAGATTACAAGATATAGGCATGCATAATTGATCAAAAAAGACAAAAGATGTTAATGTAGAGTTGTTTTTTTCTAAACTAAAACCTCAGTACTCAGGTTTAATTACAGTGTTGGCATTTTGCAATAAATAAGCAGGTTTTAGGTTGCAGCTAGGGGACTTCTCTCTAAAAGGTTCACCATCACTGATCTAGAAGCTGCCTCCATCCCTTGGCTTACAGCTCTTCCTCCATCTTCAAAGCTACAGCATGGCATCTTACCATTTTCCTTCTGATGCCAAGACTCCTGCCTCTCTCTCACAAGGACCTCTGTGACAGCAGTGAACCCATCCGCGCAGTTCAGGATTGTGTCTCCAGGGTCTCGGGATCTTTAACTAAACCACATCTGCAACATCACCTTTGCCAAGTAACATCCCCTTTGTCACGTATTCTGTTTCCAGTGATGAAAATGTGGGCATCTTTAGGAGCCATTATTCTGCCTTCTACGTGGACGTTTTAGCATCTCCTTGAGCTTTTCAACCCCAGGATTCCGTGGCCAACTGTGGTTACTAACCGTGGCTCTGTCCATCTTTGTCGTTGCAGAGGAAACGACGTTCGAAGCAGGAGTGAAAGTTCAGATCCATAGTCAGTCTGAGCCACCTTTCATCCAGGAGTTGGGCTTTGGGGTGGCTCCAGGGTTCCAGACCTTTGTGGCCACACAGGAGCAGAGGGTAAGTTCCCTGGGCTTCCCGAAGCGGTGGTCCTCAGCCTCATTCAGCCTGCAGAGGCATGAGGAGGACAAAGAAATGAGATCCACACTTCCGGATCTGAATCCAGCCAGGAGGCTGGACCAGAAGCCTGGCTCCATAAAGAGCTTCACCCTACAGTTGGAGGAAGATGCCGGTTAACCTCCTTTATCAGTTTTCCTGTGCCACCTATTGGCTCCTAAAACTGGGTATGTGGGGATGCTAGGCTTATTTCCTTTTTCACTGAATTGGTGGTTGAGGATTTTTTTTCCCCATATCGTTCTGTCACAGTAGATTTTCTGTGCACATTAATTTAAAAAGAATTTTGTGCACCAGTGCATTGTAAGGGAAACTGCTAAGCAGGGTTTCACAGTCTCATCACTGTGTTGCTGCAATGCAAAGTGGCCTACAAAATGAGAAGGGATGGAGGACTCACGCCCTGTCGCAGCTAATGGAGTGAACCATTGTACATGGGCTCCTGCCTGCCTGCCGTGTGATGTGGCCCAGGGAGGGGCCCCAACCAGGACTGCCAGGTGGATTCTGCCAGTCTGTGGAGGGAGGGCTGGCACCGCCTCTTCCCGCCAGCCCTCCCCACAGTGGGTTTTACATCTCAGAAGGGAGACTCACAGACTCTCAGACTCTCGGTAGGGAGGAAGTCACAAAGCAGGAGGGCAGAGAGACAGAGAAACAAGGGAAACTGTTCCTTTCCCTTATCTCCTGGATATTTGTCATCTCATTTGCCTAGAATAAAAGTTGCAGAGATAGGGACACTGAGAGAGCCCTCAGTCAGATGATATGAGATGATTTTCTTGAGGAGGCTCTAGGCAGGGTGAAGGCAGGGTGTGGGTGAGGGAGAGTCAGAAAGAAAGGTGGCCAAGCAGGGAGGGAATAGGGCACATATAACTTAGGAATTCAGCTTGTTTTTAAAATTTGACTCAAACACCATCTTTCATCGTGTACAAATCACAGCTGTTTAGCCATTTTATAAATCAATATTCTGCATTAAAAATTGGTCATGAATCTGTTAAACAAGCTCCACTTTTGCATCTGTGGGGAAGAGTTGATAGTGAAGGTCTTGCTCACTGTACTCTGCACACACACTGGGGTAGCTGGTAAAGGCGAAGTTCGGCCTCTGCCTAGCACATGGGGGTGGGATGGTGGCTTTGAGGAAGGAGCAGGGGATGCTGGGAGATCAGCCAGGCCTCTGCAGGCTTCAGAGACCGAAGTAGGTGGTGTGAGGAGGAATGGGGTATCAAAGAGTGGACAAGGTGGGACCCAAAAGGTGCAAGCAGATCAGTACCTCCCCAAAGGTGAAGAAGGAATTCAGCGGCAAGTTTAAGGCAAAGAATTTGAGAGCCAGGGAGAATGAGGATGTGAATTACCCAACAAAGGCACCCAGACAGACAGGTACCCTGCTGCCTAAGCTGTTCGCCTCAGTGGACTCTTGAGTACTGGCAAAAACAAACAAAGCGAGATGAAGTGGTCAGGCCAGCTTCCTATCAGTAACATCCAATTGCAGTAGTGAAGAAGTCCAGCATGAATTGAATTCAACTTAGATTCGGACAGAGGTGACCAGGGGTTGTAAAGGAAGAATGAGAGAAAGGGGAGCAGGGAGAGAAGGGATTGAGCAGAGGCCCAGAAGCAAAAAATTACAAACAGTGGGAAGGCAAGGGGTTGATCCCTATGAACCCCTCTGGGTTTGCTAACTGGAGCTTATTGAAGTTGGGTTCCTACCCTCTCACAGAGGTTGAAAGACAGGGGCTCTCTCCTCAGGTGTTTACTGGAGCAGAGGGTACATTCTTTCATGCCTTTGAGTTTCTCAGGCAGGTGCTTGAAGACGCTACAGTCACCTTGGAGATGGCTATGTTAGTGTTTGTTCAGGTCTTCATGGGTCAAGGTTGAGGACCCTGAGAGGAGAGGCTCAGGGGGCCCTGGCTGGTCTGGTCAGGTAGAGATCTGTGTCAGCACTCTCCTGTGATATGTGAGCAAGCCCATGTCCCTCCAGAGAACCAGGAACAGGTTAGAGAAACAAATGTGCACATGAATTCCTGAGCGACCTAAGGTAAGTTTTTGACTTGTGCAGGGTAAACCTGACTCTGGTTTGTTGAATGTGCCTCCCACCGCTGTCTGGCGGTGATATGCCTCTGGTCCACACACCTTGCTGTTAGCGGTGAATAAGTGAACATTCTTTTGAAACTTGAAGCGTAACTTCTTCTTCCCACTGATAGAGGCTGGAGCAGATGAAGTTCTTTGAGGCTATTGTTCATTAGCCTGAGAGATGTGCTTATCTCTTCTACCTTCTATGTGTGATGTGGAAGAAATTTCTGGGCTGAGTGGGAAATTGGAGCTGATGATGTTTAAGAAGACTTGAGTCTCTGTTTGTCTTCCACGCATCAAACTGAGAGGATCCCTGTGGTGAGCAGGCTGAAGGAACGGCACATTCCCAGCATCAGCGGGCAAAGCCATGGTTCCCTTTGAAGTGTATTCTCAGCAAATCAGCCTCATTCATAGCAGTACTCCTCTGATTATTACAACTAATAATAAGATATTTGTTAAACATTTTACAGTCTTCAAAGCATTTCCGCATCATCTCATTTCATCATTTCGTTCATATTAATAGAGAAATACAAAAACACATCCCAGAGCTAAATCTAATAATATATTATATTTACATGTATATAAAAGAACATATTCATAGGAAATAAGGCTTGAAGGAAATAAGCCAAAATACCCACAGAGGGGAAATTATGAATGATTCATTTTCTTTTCTGGGCTTTCCACATCTTTGATAATGTGCCTTTACTTTATTTATTCATTCAGCAAATATTTGTTGAATGAGTGTGGGAGGAGGAGTGGCAAACCAAACAGACCCAGTTCCTGCCCTCACAGAGCCTACAGACTAATACTCCCTTTAACAAAGGAAAAAATAATGTCAAGCCAAGTATAAGTTGGGGACTAGTCCTCCCTGTACGTTCTCCTTCTGCTGTGTGCTGGCCTACCCGGCCAATCTTGGTGTTCAAACACAGCATTTTTATTGATTACAAAGTGCATCTTTTTACACTTATGCAATCAGGATTTGTTTTACAATCAATCACATCTTGCAGTTACAATGTACACTGTTTTTCTTTCTTGGGGGTACATAAAATCACGGTGCCTCCTACAGTCTATGGCATATCTGTGAAATATGGCACCTACATTGCTCTTAATCCAAGTTTCTGCTGGCTCAGCTCGTAGCTCAAGGAAACACTGCGAGGAAGGCCAGGGATGGCTAGTCGGTGGGGAGCAGAAAGCCCTTTCCAGGAAGGTCGGCATGAATCACACTAGGAAAATTGACTCCAGAGTCAGAGCCCTGAGAGGAGCTGGTGAATGAAAGGAACCGTGCTGCAAATGGGAAAGTCCTTTTGCATGGCAAAAATCCTCCCACCCATGTATAATTATCCACGTACATAACATACACACACATACACATCTTTTGATATTTTAAATGTTATTTTGTAAAGCAAAAGTGTATAATCTCGGACTGTAAAACAGATCTATGATTGCTTTTTTAAAATCTGCATTTGCCTTAAACTCAAACGAACCAAGGTACTTCCCTGCCTTCTGGGACACCTTGAGAAATGCTCCCCTGGTCAGCAGAGATGCTTTAGGAGCCCCCGCCCAATCCCAGAGCCTCCACACCAGAGACAGGCAGCGGGGTGGTATACTGGAGCAGAGACGGAAACCTGGAGGAATAGAATAACAGTGGTTACTACTAAGCGAGCGTGGACTACCCACCAGGCATTACCCCGCAGGACACCTGATGTGCACTATCTCATTGAATCCCCCTCAGTAATTCCACAAGAGGTATTTTTATCTCCTCTTTGCAGATGACAAAACTACATGGTTAAATAACTTGCTTCAGGTCACGTAGCTGGGGGAGCAGCGAGGCGAGGCTCTAAGCCCAAATCTATCATGTCCCCATGCCTGCGTTCCTTCAGCTCTACCACATTACGTGGCTGTGACTTGGGCAGGCTGTCTGGGGACAGAGCACTGGGAACTAGCCCGGAGAGGGTGACACCTGGGCATTTTTTTTCTTACCCTAAGCCCAAAGAAACAAGGCTACCAAGTGCTATGGAGAACAAATAAGACTGTGAGCCCAGAACTCTAGTCCTGACTATGCCATGGGTCTTTAGATGGGTAACCCCCTCCCTGGACCTCAGTTTTCCCATCTGTGGAATGGGAGGATCTATTAGATAACTTTAAAAAGCCTCCAGCACTCACTGGGGGGTCCTTGCCCTTGTTCAGTTGAGGGTACAAGGATCACCTGGAAGTTTGCCCATGGCAGTTTTGTAGCCACTCTCTGTTCTGCCAGCTACTGATTCCCTCCATCATGTCAGTTGGCATGGGATGCTGTTAAGGTCAATTGGGAGATAAACCCCTCTCCAGCTCTGAGGGTAGGAATTTAGGTTCCTGACCTTGAGAAGTGGGAGATGAGAAGTTCTGGCCACCTTCTTTGGTGGCTCCTTCTTCAACCCAAACAGTGGTCACCTCTCTGCCAAACTTTAAACCATTACCTTCTAGGACTGCTTATAATTTGCACAAATACAGAACCTCAGTGGTTCCCAGAGCCCCACTCATCTCTCCAGCTTCATCATCCACTGGTGGTTGGCAGAACAGACCCTACATTCCAGCAGAAGAAAACCATTCACCAAGCACTCCAGGCTCTTTGATGCCTGCACCACTATTCCCTCTGCCCACGACTCCTCTCTTCTCTCACCTATTGGAAAAGACCCCTTTCGTTCATGCTTCCAGATATCATTAAAGACCACAACATCGAAGAAGACCCTCCCCGTCCTTTCCTGCTATTCTCCAAGGCCAGTTAGTGGTACCCCAAAACACTCTACATATTCATTGATTCCTTCAGCAAGTATTTTTCCGCTGAGCACCAGATGCTCTTGAGGTATGAAGACAGGCAAGAGCTAGCCCCTGCCTTGGAATATGCAGAA